TACATAAAGTACCTTTTTGATTAATGTTATAACAGGAAGCTTAAAAAATATAAAAATTAGACCCTTCGTGCTTTGAAGAAGCCCAAAATGATTTTTTTTTTCAAAACCTATCTTTAGTTTTGTCTGTAACTGAAATAAACTTTCGTGGTATTTTAAAAATCAATAAATAGGAATACAGTTAATTTCTTCAAATGAATAGAATTCAATGCCATATATGATTTTATATTTAAATGCATATTATACATCTTAATTTTTTTTTTACGTAACATTAAATCTGAGTTGATCTCACAGTGTGTTAGATTAACTTTATAATAGATAAAGCACAAAAATACTTCCCCCATATTTTTATAAGTATTGATTTGAGTGTCATTTTACTCATTAGTTTGTATTATAAAATTTGTAATGGATTGTGCAAATGTGATATAATCAAAACATTTTCTTTTCTTTATCAGAATGTCCACCATTAAAAAACAGAGTGTATGCTTGTCATTGATCACAAATAATTAAAAGTTATGGTCTGGGGAAAGTCTATAATGCAGCTTAATTTGAGGATTTTTTAAGGCTTTATTAAAGCATTTTAAATTATTTTAACAATTTTTTAGTGTAAACAGATTGAGATTGAAATATGCTACTTTTTTACTATTTTCTCTCTGTATTTGAAACGTAACTGATATGAAATGTAATAGTTTTTTGATTGTCACACAAATGCAATATTTTTTTGATTGTTTTATTTTATATTTCTTAAATTTTTCAAAAATGCAAGAAGAAATGGCCCCTGCCATTAGTGGTTACTGATTGAAGCAAACACAAAAAAGAAAACTCCCTGCTTAGGTTACCAACATAGTAGCTGGGATTGAAAAAAGGCATCGAGAGAAGATGGAAATTTGTCCCAACACTTTGTATCGAAAATAATTGAAAAATGATTTAACACCTTATTTTAAAATCTTGCTACAGACTTCTCTCCTTTCAACCATTTCTGTGTTTAAATATTTTATTATTTGCTACCCCATTTTTAATTCGGTGCTTTCCAAAAATACTTTTTCATCAAACTTCTTAAAAAATTTTATACAAATAACTAATTTATCCAAAAATAAGATTTTTTTCTTCTATATAAGCCATTCGATTGCAAAACTTGTTTAAATTATATTGAATTTTTCTGCTAAATTTTATGGGTAGAAAAAATTACATTTTTTAAGTAATTCTTGCTGACTACTTGAAATTTGTATGAAAGTTTATAATAAAAGTTAAAATTTCATTTTGACGGTAAGAAAACCTCCTCTGATTTCAATTCAAGTAGAGATAAATGAAAACGATGAAGAGGAATAACTAGTTTTGCTTATGGATTATGCATTCAACATTACCCATTTGTAATATTAAAGCTATTTTAAGAAATGTATTAAGATTTTATAAATATTTTAATAATTAGATTAATTTTTATTTGATTTGAATTTAATGTTGTAACTCAGAAAATTTTCTCTGTAACTGGTGAAAAATAGCTTTGAGACTATTTCTGGATGTTGGCATTCTTCTAAATTTCAAGTTATAAGGCAATAAAAGGGCGTATACATGTGTCCAGTATAGAATTAATTTTTCTTTTTCATATACTAGACTTAAATTTTTGGAGAAATTTTGGTAATATGTCATACATTGATTGTATACATTGATTGTATACATATGTCATACATTGATTTGTATTGTATTTTGATCGATTTGTGTTGTAATTTGATCTTATTTTATGAGTTCTATATGCTTGCAACTTATGCACAGTATTGAAACCTATTGATTTTCTTAATTTCCTTTGTTTTTCTCTCTTTTTTTGTTGTTGTATTTACTTATACCATTTTGTATTTACTTATTATGCTTTATATATACATATATAGAGAGAGAGACAAAAAAACTACCAAGAATAATTAAATATATTTTAAAAATTATTTTAAAGAAAATTAAATAGCAAGAAATCAAATTAAGTGATATGAACTACCCGCCAGCACATAGGAATATGTCCATAAATTAGAGTGCTTTTTATATTATATTAATGTAGCCAAAACAAGATATGTTTTAATGTATTTTGCTATATTAATACGATATTAAAAAGTACTCTAATTTATGGATATAATCATGTGAGCTGACAGGGAGTTTATAAGACTTAAATATATATTGTTTTCTTGATTTTTAATTTTTTTAAAATTATTAAAAGAATTTTTAAAATAAATATAATTATTTTTGGCAGTTTTTCTACTCTTTTAATTTGTTTTTCTTTCCTTGTTCTCTTTGTATTTTTATCACATTCTATGACTTCTATGTACTTACAGCTTTTAGATTTTCTTATTTAAGCATCAATAAAACTAGGTTTGTTTTGCTCACATAATTGTTAATATCACCATTCTGAACATTTTTAAGATTACATTTGACTTCACATGTTTTTATCATATAAAATATACTATTCTCTTCTATTTAATTAAAATTAGTTTTGTATTTTAAAGTACTTAATTGTCTTAGCTAACTGTATTGAAGAAGTATGAAAATATTATAAACTAGTATCGAATAATACAGATCAAACCTTTTGAACAGGATTGCTTGTAATACTTTAAGGAAGAATTGTATTTAATTATTGTATATAGTTAACTATTGAACATTTTATAATCCTTTTTGTTTCGAATATTGTGTACTTTCATTTGCAACAATTTTTTTTGTATTTAAGATGGATAGACGACGTTGAAAAGGACCTCAAGCTATTGGGAGTCAACCGATGGCGGGCCGTCGCACCGGACAGGGCCAGATGGAGGAAAATCTGCGAGTCAGCCTTGGCCTGTGAAAGGCTGTTGCGCTTATGAAGAAGAAGAAGAATGACTCTGTTTTCTAACTCTCCTCTCTTTTTATTTTAAGTCTAAAATTGCCTGTATTCTGTAGCAATGCTTATTATTTTTTTTATACCTTGCTTAATAGGGTTAAAATCCTTTATTTCTGTTTTCTGTGTAATTTATTTATTGAACTGTTTTTTTTAAATTATTATTTACTATTAGAAAATTCTTAATATTTTAATAATTAACTTTAGTATTGTAAATATTTATTAAGCTGTGTAACCATTTTGGTATGTTATGTTTAAATGCTCTTACCCTTTTATGCTTTTTTTTTCTTTTCTCCAAGCTTTGGACATGTGCCTAGGTCAATATGGACCCTTTAGCTTGCCCAAACTTGGCTACTGGTCCGGCTCTACACCAGCCTAGGAACGAACCCAGTCAGCAAGAATTTATTGAGAATTTAGATACGTACAAAATCCTTTTATGCTTTAAAGTTATATATATTTACACCAGATATCTGCAGCATTTTTGATTTTAAAACTTGTACTTTGTCTTTTACCAACTTAATAAGCCTTTAATTTAAGTAAGAAAAATGAAAACTTTTAGAGCCACTCCTTGACTATAATTTGTTTTAACCTTCAACATTCTGAGCATTAATTTAAACAATTTTTTGTTACAACTTTTTTCTATCCTTACTGATTGATTTTTTCCATTCTTGCATTTATATTTGTTAAACATTTAATGATTCACTATGTTCTATATTTTTCTGGTTCTTGTTGCAAATAAATTTTATTTTAATATGCATGGTTTTTCTTCATCTTTTTCATTTATTTTATTTAATTTTTCTATATTTTTCATGATCAATTGTGTTTGGAGGTTTTCTTAATACAAAATCACTGAAACAGTTTCTCCAAATAACCTTCGATTTTCTTTATTTAAAGAAAATCACATTCAAGTCCAACAAAACAATGTTAAATTTATTTAGGGATATGCAATTAAATTTATTTAGGGATATTTGCAGAACTAAAAATATATTTTAAAAATATCATATACATTAGTTTAATTCAAACTAGTTTTAAAAAAATTTTCAGAAATAGTAATTTTTTAAGGCATTGTGAAATGATATCCTCTTTGCATTTTTTTATTTGCTTATTTTTCAAAAAAAAATTTTTAGAGTGAAATTTTTAGTATAGTTTTTTGTTTAATTATAAAAATTCAAAGAATTTTTTTTAAAAGAACTACATTACTTTAAAGTAAAATTTATCATATGCAATATTTCTAAAAACTATAGGTCTGATATTTGAAACAAACTTTAAAATTTATGAAGTTACAAAATGTTATGCTTAGAAATGGTAATTTTAAATTTAATCATTTGATATCAATATTAAACAATATAAAGCAAAAACTTTAATAAATGAAGGGAAAATTAAAATTAAATGAATAAAATAGTAGCTTTTTTAAAAATGCAACCAGATTTAAATGTTTCAAATACAACGTAGACTATTTGTTAATTTATTGTCTTGGTGTTTGAAATAATAATCAAAGAATAATCAATGAAGCTTATAATAATAATATAGTTTAACAACATAATTTATTAACAAATAAGTATTTATTCTATGGAAATTAGTTTTCTTCTTGAATTTTACAGATTTTTAATTACGAAATATTTCAATATAAAATAATACCTCAATATAGAATAAAGTTAGCATGTCTTATATACTAGTGAATTGATGTTTAATAATCGAAATCGTAGTGGTAGTTTCGCCACACCGTATTTACCGTTTATTTGTTACTGGTATTTCACTTTCTATGCGCATAAAATGGATGTATCTCCTTATTTACTGAAAAAGAGCTAGTATAGATTTTAAAATATTTAATTATTCATACAACGAATATAGTTTCCTTAAAGAAATTTGAAAATACAACGAAATATTTAACGATGATATGAAAGAAATTAACTGTAATTAATGCAAATAAATAAGAAAAGTTTACTTACCAGCGGAGACAATTTTAAAGACAACTTGCATGAGATGATAGCAAGCTTCGAAAACAAAATCGTCCATTAGTCAGAAGTTTAAAAATAAGTTATCAGTCACAGTTAAAGCTTGTGCCTCTCATTGTACGAACAATCGATTGCGCCATGAATGTATTTCTCGATCATATTTACCAATTTATGGTGCAACCTAAATAAAACAATTTTTCATTTAACCAATTTATGGTGCAATTAGAAACTTTGCACCAAAGATTGGATAAACATTTACCGAGTTTTTTTTTACAGTGTACTTAATTATTGAAAGAAATACTAGACACAGTAGCGAATAGATAAATAACTATTTTTCAAACAGCAATGTATGAAGCAAAATTATGCCTCTTTATACCTCTCCAAGAGCAAAAAATGAGTTTATAAATCTGAAAAAAATAAGAATTTATTTACATCTAAAATAAGATAGTTTAATACTGAAATGTATTCACATTTCAAAGACTTATTAAATTTTTAGTTTTGTTGATGCATAAATTGAAAAAGAAGGTTATAAAATGAGATAGCTTTTAAAATTTATTTACTTATTGTAAGTATTCGATGTACACAAAAAGTATGCTTTCGTTGATAACACGCAAAGATGTATTTATAGAATAAATTTCCCTCTTTTAAGAACATGCAAGTAAAAAAAAAAAAAAATGAAGCGTGATCCTAGCCATCTTAACCAAACTTGTCACATCTTAACAACTGTTGCATTTAACGAAATAAAAATACCTCTGAAGAAGTGGCTCAAAACAGGCAGAAGAGAGTTTCTTCGCGCACCAACACTTGAAAATTTAATTTCTTTTAAAAAGACTCGAGCAAGAAACATTTGAAGCTAAACCTTAAAGGCCTCCTAAATATAATGTGTCAACAAAATGACATCAAATTATAAATTCAGATTCTGTAATTGAAAAAAAATTTTTTTTTAAATAGCCCATTACAACCTCTGGATGAATGCAATGCACCACCGAACATAAATGAATTAAAAACACCCTTAGAGTGATGCAATAACATTTCTCTTGGACATGACGATATTCACTTTATTATGTTCAATTTTATAATAATTTTTTTTATATTTAGAATGAAGATGAAACACAGGACAAAAATCTACTATAAGTACATTTTTTTGTGCCTTTTGACTTCAAACCCGTAAAGCGGATAATTAAAGTTCGTGTAAGCAACAGAGCACCCTATATCTTTTTTTTTTTTTTTCCTTTTTAGTTTAATAAAAGTCGTCACACTGTTTAATTGTTGCATAAAGATCATACTTTTAAGCCAAATTTACCAAATACTCTAAACTTAAAGGGAAAAAAATATTAATGCACAATGGAATTAACAGTAGTTGCTTACATATTCTTCAGATTATTGATTATACAATTAAATCAATTAAAAATTGAAAGATTCTTAAGTGTCTGCATACATTCAAGACTATTTTTAACACTTACGAATATTTCATGCATTAGAATTTCTTTACTGAAATTCCAGTATGTATATATATATATATATATATATATATTATTTCACATATAATATGTTTCTCATTTATGTGAATTTTCGCCTAACCTTTTAAGATAATGTTCTTACATGTATAAGGCGTATAATATAAACGAAATCCCTTCGAAGAACTTTTATTTTAAAGGTTGGATTTTCACGATTTAAAGACCAATAATATTGATTCATATTAGAGGCAAAAAACATCAAATATGCTAACGATTAATTGTGTTACACAACCTAACGGAAAAAGGTTCTTTCTCTAAAGAAACATATTTTTTTTTCTCGAACTTGGTTTTTTTTTACTATCAAAATACGAGGCACAGTCGCAGTCTGGAAAATATGGACCCAATAGCTTAATCTGAACAGCGATCGAATTCGTAAGGTATTCACATTTTTACATTATTTTAAACTTAATTTTAAATGGCATATTGCAAAATTTGAGCGAAATCGACCTTATATGTATCTCTGAATAGATAATCTCTGTATAGATAAAACTTAAATTAAAAATTAAAAAAAATCAGAAACTATTAATTTTTGAGTTCTTTTAAATTTAAACCATTAAGATAGACATTTTGTCAGTGATCATTTGATTGATTATAGTCGATCAAAATTAACTTAATGTGACTTTGAAATATTCTTAGAGATAAGAATGTTTTACTGTGGATTAGACACTCTACATCCGCATGTTTGTGCGACTAATTATATAACAGAGAATACAACTTTTGTGTATCAATAATACACACTACCCTACAATAATGGGAGAGACACTTTCAGATTTTGACATTTTTATGAATTTCTCAAGAAATATTAAGAAGATTATTTTGTAACTTTAGAGATACTTAGTTCATTCGTAGGGTTTAATTCAGCAATAAAAATTTAGTCGTCCAAGGGCCAGATTTGTATTCATTTAATTGTCATTCAATTTAATATGGTAGACAAATTTTAAAAAATATGAACTTTACAATTGTATATTTTGTTTTATAGTACACATAAAAAATTAATAGAATAATATTAGTAGAATAATATTAATAGAATAATTAGTAGAATTAATAATAAAAATTATTACATCCACAAAAAATACTAGATATTTAAATATTTGTTCAATGATTAGAAAATTGAAGTAGTTAGACAATAAATTTCAAAGGAAGTTAAACGTCCCATTGCTGTTAAACCTACATGGACGAGTTTCGTAGTTTTCCTCTCCATGAAACGCAGTTCTTAAATACTTTTCACAAAAAAATTTGTTCCAGCTTTCTAAATTAAGGGTTTCTTTGTCTTCTGAGATGGCTATAATAAAATAGCAATCACGTGGTTTCCCTAATCTACTTGATGATTAGTTTGGAGTGGAGACGTCATTACTTTTTTTAAAGAATGCATTAAACTCTTAATCATCTGTTTAATATATAATAAATATTTAAAAATGTTAAAGATATAAAACCGCGCATGCATAGAGTTAAAAAACTACGGCCTCATATCTTGAGAAATTTTTAAAATTTTTTTATATAAACTTTAAAATAGCAATTTTAATGTTAATTGAAAATAGTTCCGAAAATTTTGTTGATTATTTCCAATGTTATAGCCAAGAAAATGCATGAAAAAAAATTATATTTTATAAAAATTTTCTCATCTCCATAAGTATATAAGGGTTTACAAATAACAACCAAAGTAATCAATGCACGTTAAAATCTTTGATTTCATCTATCAATCCATCATCAATCTTTTTTTTAATCTATCATTCAAGTTAATTGCTTTATTTTTTGGCATAGGGTGTTTAAAAATACTTGTTTTCGTTCTTAATTCATTGCTGGTCTTTGAAAGCTTTAAAACTTTTTTTAAGTAAGAGAAATTCCATGACCTATACACGACTGAAGTATTTCTAAGTATTACTTGAGAAATAATTCTAATTGGCTTTAAGCTACTTTCTTTTAATTCTGCTATTCAAACTTTTTACAATTTTTTGAATGTCTCCTACCTCATGAATTATTGGTCCAGTTTTTATTATATTTTTCCTCGCTTTAATTTTATTTTGTGTCATCTAATAGTTCAACTGACTGACTAATAGTTCAACTTTGCTTTTGAAAAAATTTTAAAAATGTAGTTTACGATTGTTGGTTGTGGTTGTCTATGCGTAAAAAAAGGTTTTTCTAAATTTTTATTTTTTTTTGTATTCTATTATACAATTTTATCGAAATTTAAGAAATTGTTTGGATTGAGAAGATTGATTTACATTCCTTCATTTCGTATGACAAAAATCAAACAACTATATTTAATTTATTTTGCTGTTAAAG